GGGTAGTTTTCCAATTTGATCAGTTCTTCCTCTGCTCTGGTACCCAGTGAGCTGCCATATTCTCCATGTGCATCAGGGTCTGTATCCACTGATCTGCCTTTTTCATTCATAGGTGGGCCCAAACAAGCCCAGCATCCACCTCACGGGCTGGCCCAAAAACATGGGCCAGGTGACCCAATGCCTGCCGGATCCCCTGGGAGATGTTTCTTAAGACTTGCATTTCTCATGGAAAAATCATGAGTTATTTTTAATCTAATTCCTTGATATTATAGGGGTTAGAGGCGGAATGGTAAAATACAGCATACAGGCATCCAAGAGATGCCAGCTGGCTTCTTCCTTTTTATCAAGTTAATGCTGTTTCCCAGTTACCTTATTTCTAGCTTTTAGCTTTATTTATTTGAAAAACAATTTTTCCATCTGCTGGTTCATTCCCCAAGTGGCTGCAAAATATAGGGCTGGGCCAGGCCATTAGTCCGTCCCTTCCTGAGAGTGGCAGGAGTCCAGTCATTTGGGCCATCTGCTTCTGCCTTCCAATTTACATTAGCATGGAGCCGGCACAGAAGGCCAAATAGCTGGAACTTGAAACTGGTACTGGAGTGCCAATGTTGCAAGTGGCACTTTAACCCTCTGTGTCATAACACTGGCCTGGTACTAGAAGGATTTTTTTTTTAAAGATTTGTTTATTTTTATTAGAAAGATACATCTATAGAGAAGAGAGAGAAACATCTGTCTGCTGGTTCTCTCCCTAAGTGGTTGCAATGGCTGGAGCTGAGCTGATCTGAAGCCAGGAGCCAAGAGCTTCTTCCAGGTCTCCCACGTGGGTACAGGGTCCCAAGGCTTTGGGTTGTCCTCTACTGCTTTCCCAGGCCACAAGCAGGGAGCTGGGTGTGAGGTAGAGCAGCCAGGACATGACCTGGCACCAAATGGGATGCAGCTCTTGCAAAGCAAGGGTTTAGCCACTGAGCTATGCTAGGTGCTGTGAGGATTTCTTAAGAGTTATAATAATGACTGAAAAGGTGATATTTGAAAATTTTTTTCTTACTTCCAAGCTTTCTATTTCTTCTTTCCATTTCTGAGGGGTGTGTGTGTGTATGGGGAGTGACAGCCCCACAACCATCCCAGTACCCGAGGATGGGGAAAGGCCACCCATTATCAACCCAGGGTCACAAAGTGGCGTACGCACCAAGCATTCTGCCCAGGTGGATGTGATAGTTGTGAAATGCTGTTGATCTCACCGATCTGTGGGTGAGGAATCCCTTCCAATGTCCGTTGGCTAACACAGTCGACCCTGTAGACTCCATCCACCCAGATATTTGCTGTGAACGTTTGACTGGGGTAGTTGTCCCTATGTTCTGTTCTCCATTCTCTGCTATGGTACCAAATGTGCTCTGCAGACCTTCCCCAAAAATATAAGAATTTTCAAATAACTAGCAAAAAGGATTTGTTATTGAAGTTTCCCAAGTCCCAAAGTCAGTAAGTAAAGTCCACTTTTTTAAGTTGAATCCATTCCTTTCTTCTTTATTACTTATTGAAAGGCAGAGTTACAGAGATCTTCCATTCATTGATTTACTCTCCAAGTGACCTTACAATGGCAAGGGCTGAGCCAGGAACCTGGAACTCCAGCTGGGTTTCCCCGGAAGGTGCTTGGTCCATCTTCCTCTGCTTTCCCAGGCGCATTTTCCAATGCTGGACCCAAGTTGAATCTATTTTTATATTTTACAAAAAGCAAAAAGGATTAGCATTTTCCATGTTACCAGCTGCATGACTAAAATGAAAAGACTTTTTTAAAAAAAAGATTGATTTATTTTATTGCAAAATCAGATATATAGAGAGAGGAGGAGAAACAGAAATATCTTCCGTCTGATGATTCACTACTCAAATGACTGCAACGGTCAGTGTTGTGCCGATCCAAAGCCAGGAGCCAGAAGCTCTTCCGGGTCTCCCACGCAGGTGCAGGAGCCCAAGGCTTTGGGCCGTCCTCCACTGTTTTCCCAGGCCACAAGCAGGGAGCTGGATAGGAAGTGGGACTACTGGAATTAGAACTGGTACCCATATGGGATCCTGGCAAGGACTTTAGCTGCTAGACCACCAGGCCAGGCCCGAAAAAACCCTTATTTTATTTTTTTTTTTTTTAAGATTTTATTTGGGACCTGGTGTGGTGGCTTAGCAGCTAAATGCCTCACTTTGAATGCACCAAGATCCCAAATGCGTGCCGGTTCTAATCCCGGCAGCTCCACTTCCCATCCAGTTCCCTGCAGTTGAGGACGGCCCAAAGCCCAAAGCCTTGGGATCTTGCACCTGTGTGGGAGACCCAGAAGAGCTCCAGGCTCCTGGCTTCGGATCGGCGTAGCACCAGCCATTGCAGCCACTTGGGGAGTGAATCTCAGATGAAATATCTTCCTGTCTCTCCTCCTCTCCATATATGTCTGACTTTCCAATAAAAATACATACATATTTTTAAAAAGATTTTATTTGAAAGGCCCAATTACAGAGAGAAGCCTTGCATCTGCTGGTTTACTGCCTAAATGGCTGCAAAGCTTCCATGGAAGCCAGGAGCTTTTTCTGGGTCCCCCTCATGGGTGCAGGAACCCACACTCTTAGACCATGGTCTACTGATTTCCCGGGCACATCAACAGGGAGCTGGATTGGAAGTAGAGGAACAGAACTGAAATTAGAGCCCATATAGGATGTGGCCACTGTAGATGGTGGCTTAACCTTCTGTCCTTCAGCACTGGCACTCCAGAAACCTGGAGGTCTTTTTCATTAATATAGAGGAAAAAAGGCATATTTGCATTAGTATTCCCAGGACTTTTTCCTTAAGAATTTGCCTGAATATGAACATATGAGTCATAATTTAATTAGTGCTAGGAGACAAGATGAGAGGTCTTAAGAAATAATACATTAGAATTAGGCGATATATATAAATGATTTCAAACACATTATGGTAGGAAACCAAAATTGAATGTTGTAAAAATCCATTTTTTTCTTTTATTGTTCATTTGAGACAGATCCCATCCACTGATTCACTGCACAAATCGCTGGAATAGCTGGGTTGAAGTCAGGAGCCTGGGACTCCTGCTGCTTGGGCCAACACCTCCTGCCTTTCAGTAGGAAACTGACATGGAAAGCAGACCCGGGAGAAGGACCCAAACACTCAGATGTGTCACAAGCATCCCATGCAGTTCATCCAACCGGTCCAGCAGTTCTTCATAAAGGAGAGCAAAGTTTGAATACATGGCAGCTTGCCCAAGAGAAAAAGATGATCTTCTGAAAATGTCTTCCTCAAAACCGTGAGCCTAGCTCAGGAATCCCAGGCTGTAGGGGCCTACTTAGTACTGCCAGCTAAGTCCCCACTGCTGTGCTGCTTCTGATCCAGCATCCTGAGGATGTGAGTGAATGTGCTGGATAAAGCAACAGATGATGGTCCAAATGCTTAGGCCCCTGCCCCGGGTGTGGGAGACTAGGATGGAGTTACGGCTTCTAGGCTTTTTTCTGGCCCAGACCTGACTGTTGTAGCCATGTGGAGAATGAACCAGCAGACACAAGGTGTCTTTCTCTTTTGTCATGCTCCAAATTAGGGCTTTTCCATCTGCTGCTCCTCTTCCCTAAAATGGCCGTAACAATTGGAGATAGGCTGGATCACAACCCAGACATCAGGAGCTTCTTCTGGGTCTCCAATAGGAGTGCATGGTCCCAAGGCCCTATGCCATCCTCCTCTGCTGCCCTCTCAGGCCACAAGCAGAGAGCTTCCTGAATGGGAAGCAGAGCAGCTGGGACATGAACTGGTGCCTGTAAGGGACTCTGGTGTCAAGGCAGAGGCTTAGCCTGACCCATGCCGGCCCTATAGCAATTTTTAAAGAAAAGTTAAGCTTGAAGAGATTTTTATGTGTATGAGAGTTTCTCATTTTGTGACCAGAACTGAACTTTGTCAGTTGATAGAAGGGAATGTATTGGCTTGAGCCTTAAATACAGCTCTTAATATATTGCTGGGGGATGATGCTTAGACACTGCCACTTGTGAGAAGCAGGATGCTGGTTTCAGGGCCCAGGGGTTGAATGTAGATGCCCTGATTTACTATAGAAACATTTCAGAAAACTTTGATGGGCAGAGAGGCTGGACTTGGGACATAGGGTTTGAAGCAGCTACATTACCTGCAATGCCAGCATCTCGTATGGGTGCCAGTTCACATCCAAGTTGCTCCATTTCTGACGGAATGGCCTGGGAAACCAGCGGAAGACAGCCCAAGTCCTGGACCTGCCCAACGGGGGATACAGAAGGAACTCCTGGTTCTGGCTTCCTTAAATGGCCATCTGGGGAATGAGCCAGCAGATCTGCCTCTGATTTCAAAATATATACGTAGTGAAATATGCTGAACAAAAATTTATTGAACATTTGTTCATCCATTAAATAAATACTAAAAATATTCTAATGACAATAAATTATAGTAAGGAAAATATTGAGGGTATGCATAAAAGTAAAAGCAGTTTCTTTACTGGAACTTACAGTTAGACTAGCAAGTAAGCACAGCAGTTTTTAAAAGGACAAAAAGAAGGGAAAAGGCATGTGTGGCAAAAAAAAAAGTATACCTTTAAGGGAATGGAGCTTCAAGCTAAATCTCTACATAAAGATTACCCAGAGGGTCATACCTAAGTATATGGAACTGGGAGCTTTTTTTTTTAAGCATCCCTGGTTAGAAGGAAATAGATCTCCAGGTTCTGAGGGAAAGAGGCACCGCCTGCTCCCCGAGAGCGTTTGGCCAACACAGCCCATCCCAGCAGGGAAGCATGTTTTCTGGGGAGCGCGCAGGTCTGGCCCCGCAGCGGACTACAATTCCCGTCGTGCTCCTGGCCCGCCGCGGCCTCCGGCGAGCGCAGACGCGCTGTCCTCTCTCGCCGCCGGCTGCAGAGGCTGGGCGGGGCGCCCGCCGTGCGGGGCCGCCCTCCCACTGCTCCCCGAGGCCTCTCTTCGGACGGTTGACCTCGAATGAGGAACGAGCGGGGCGGGAAGGGGAGGGCTGCGGCGGCGCGGACAGAGCCCGCCGGGCCCGGCGCGGGGGGCGGCGAGGTCACGTAACGGCCGCTCTCCCCGGCATCCCGAGCGCGCGCCGCGGCTCGGAAACAGTTACCGGCTAGTAAACAACAGCTGCGCGCGCACCCGCCTCAGCTGGCGCCGGATCCCGCACCTGCGACCTCCTCCGCCCCCCGCTCCTGCCCGGTCGGGGCCGGCGTGCTGGGCCGTCTCCTCAGCCGGGACCCCTGGGAAGACCTGCGCCCGGGCCGGGGTCGGGCAGAAGGCGCCTCCCGGAGAAACGGGGTGGCCCGCTCTGTCACGCGCCGGAGCACCCAGCGAGCCGGCCGTGGGCTCAGCGGACTAGCTGCGACCTGCCACGACCCCCGAGCTGCAGTCGGAGCTGTCCTGACCGGCTAGCCGCCTGCCGCCTGATCCCGGGGACCTCTCTCTGCCAGAAGAGCGGGCGCGCCACCCCCGCAGACCTCCCCGAGGCACGAATCGGCTCCGCCGTCGCAGCCTCCTCCTCCCGTTCTCCTCCATCCAGTAGTGTCGGTTATTTTTCCCGTTATGCATGTGCACCTCTCCCACCAGACCCAAGTGGATTATCGACCTCCAAAACACCGGGTGGCTCTGCACACTCCTCCTCCCAGCCAGACCTGTGGGGTGTTCACCTGATACACAACAGGTGGCCGGGTGTACACCTTTTCGCAATCCGATCCACGCTCTATTCACCCGGTAAAAGGGTGGGCTTGCATCCTCCCTGCTCTGCTTAGAACTGGGGAACACTCGGCAGATCCAGGACTGCCTACCTCGGAAGGAACTGGGGCGGAGGGCGGCGGGGTTTCTGCAGCTGCTCTGAGGCCATGGCCCTGTGTCCCCAGCCCCGGGCCAGGGGAGACAGCTAGGTCGTGCTAAGGAAGGATCAAGGCTACTTGACATTGGGATCGTTTCAGTATTTGTTTGTTTTTTTTTCTCAAAAGGAAAAAAAAAAAGTCTTAGCTATTGGGGTTGCACTTTTTAAGACAATTGGCTTGAATACTTAATAGGATTCTTATTTGGGGCTCTGTGGTGTGAAGGTGATTGAGGGTTGGTTTTTCTCTTTTTTAAGTTTTCTATTTTTGTCATCAAAAGTAGCTAGTGTAGGAGCAAAATTCTTGTGAGGTTTTTCCTCTTTTGTTCTTCAAAGTAAGAAAGGAAAATGCATCCTCCGGAAACGACCACCAAGATGGCTTCAGTTCGGTTCATGGTGACACCAACGAAGATCGATGACATTCCGGGCTTGTCGGACACCAGCCCGGACCTCAGTTCTCGATCCAGTTCCCGGGTACGGTTTAGCTCCCGGGAAAGCGTGCCTGAAACCAGTCGGAGCGAGCCCATGAGTGAGATGTCGGGAGCCACCACTTCTCTGGCCACTGTTGCCCTGGATCCAGCCAGTGACAGGACTAACCCCCAGGATGTTACCGACGGTAAGTAACAGTGCCATCAGAGGATATGCTGGGCTTTGGCTGCTGCAGCGCGAGCCCCTGGGCTGCTGTTTGCCCAAGGCAAGTCTCCCCAAGTCTTGGAACCTGTTGAAATAGTGGTCTGTGCCCTGGGTAGCCGTGGTGTTAATCGGGGTACAGGAAGCTGTGTGGCAAGAAGGAGAGCAGAGTGTGTGTATGGGCTTCCTCGTTTTTGTCTCCTAAGACTGAATTGAGGACTTTGGTGAATCTCCACACATTCGTGAATTTTTCAGCTGGAGAAGTCTGTGAGTGGGCTCTGTTCCCTAGGCAGCCCTTTAGACGCGTGAAATGAGGCGTTTCTGGCCATACCCCAAATAGCTTTCCCTCGGAGACTTTGGAGGTGCGTTGCAAAGTTGCTTTTTGAGCATCTGTACTTTTACAGAGACAGTGGCACCAGGAGCTAAGCTCTTGGTGGATGGACAGTGGATCCACCAAGTGGATCCACAAGGTGTGAAGCTGCTGAATGGTGGAGTGCTGAAGGGACTTTGAGGGCCACGGGACTCCTTCACCTTGAACTTTGAGGGTATCTTGAGGAATTTCCTGAAGGTTTTGGCTCAGAAAGTAGCCGAGCCCACCCCTGGCTCCCAGGAGCCCCGCAGACTTGCAGGTGTGAAAGCTGTTAGAGTCGGCCTGCTGAGGAGTCTTCATGGGATCCAGCGGAGAGAGGTGGGATGGCACTGGTGTTTCAGATCTGCTGTCCTACTTCATGTATTTCGTTCCATGCTGTCTTCTAACTAATGGAGACTGTCTAGTTGTGCGGGTTGGCCCTGAAGAGTGAGACTCTCAGAATGGTGTTTGCCCGCCCTTCTAGCCTCAGCTACTTTCTTGTGAAAGTGAAGCTGACTTAACATTTTCCGGTGTCAGGAAATACCATTCCTCCTAACCCAGAGGGTTCAGGAGGGCTCAGTGATTTTAGTTCCTTAATTCTGTTTGTGTTTTTCATGTCTGCAAGACATGCTGGACCTGCTGAGTTCATAGTTCCAGAGTTCACTCAGGCTTGACTCATCATTTCTTCTTTTATGGAGATAGAATTGGTTTGTTTCTGAGCTGTTTTCAGCTTCCTGAATAAACATACATTGTTATGTATATTATGTTAAAATCATAGTACAGTATAAAAAATAATTTACCATTTCCTGTTCTTCCAAATTAATTCTAGATACTAGATTTTTAGCTTTTGTTCACCATTCTGCACCTAGGTTTTTTTTTTTTTTTGTAAAACAAACATGGTAAACTCAAACCAATGTGAATTTTTTCGTATTGTAGTTGTCACTGGGTAACTTAGCTGAGTATTGTTTGACTTGTGACTTAGTGTTATGGAATTGTGTTTTTGCTCCCTTAAAAAATGGACTTGCACCGGTAATGTGTCAGACTTGAAAAACAGGATCCTTGTCTAGATTGCCGTGTTTTCAAGCATTCTTTACAGTCTGCAGGTCTAGTTTTATGCCATAAGGGTAAGAGGTTGTTGGGTTGGGTCATGTCTGGGTCAACCTTTGTGTTTACACGAGTGTGAAGTTAAAGCTGGGCTCTCTATCCCTTTCTTATTTAATGTTTATTTTATTTCTCTCAGTTTATTTGTATTTGTTTGAAATGCAAAGAGAGGTCTTCCATCACTCCCCAAATGGCCTCTGCAGCTGGTTCAGAGCCAGGACAAAGCCAGAAGCCAGGAACTATTTCTAGTCTTTCAAAGGCGCAGCAGGGGCCCAAGAACTTGAACCATTTTCTAGCCCCCAAGAGTACACATTAGCAGGAAGCTGGAGATCAGAAGCAGAACAGCCAAGACTGAAGCTGGAACTCAAACCAGCACTCTGATCCTGCCGTTTAGTGCAGCAGACTAACCCAGGCTTCACCCTATGGGCCCCTTAAGTAACTAAATGTTCTATAGTGAGGAGATGAGAAGAGGAAATTGACAACTCAGCCCCTAGTCAGCATTTCCCTCTTTGAGAATATCTTTCTGCTTTGCCAGGGAGCTACCATTTCTCTTAGTTTCTTTAAAAAAAAAGTTCTTAGGATGGAGTCTAATTGTAGCAGGTGAGACTGCCACCTGCAGCACTGGCATCCTATGTGGCTCCAGTTCGTGTCCTGGCTGCTCCACCCTGGAAAGGGTCAGGTAAAAGCAGCAGAAAATGGCCCAAGAGTTTGGCCCAAGTGTCCCTGCCACTCGTATGGAGACCTGGATGAAGCTCCTGGCCCGGGCCGGCTGCTGTGGCTCTCTGGGGAGTGAACCGGACACTGGAAGATCTCCTGTCCCCTCTCTGCCTACCTCCCCCCACCCCCCACCAACCCGGCCCTCATTTCTCTTTCTCCCTCTCTTTCTCATGTCTCTGTGACTCTTTCTTTCAAAATAAATCTTTAAAAATATTCTTAGGAAGGTTATCATCCTGTGATAAATTTCCCTAACCATTAGAGGTAACTGATCATACATATACTTAGTTCACCTTTGGCTCATATTATGTGAGTGTCCTTGTTAAGGCTACAGGGTCACATATGAAGGATGCTGCTATTAAGAAAATCAAGCATTTGATGTTGATCTCCATCTGTCTCTGGGTGCATTAAGTACAGAAAAACAACTGCCTTTCTACAGTTAACTCTCTCCTTTAGCTCACAGTGTATTTATGAATTGTTTACTATTTTAGTGTTTATAGTCATGTGATTTTACACTTGATCTTAGCCAAAAGGCCGAGAAGCAATACAATCATGTGATTTTTTAAAAAATCTTTTCTACATACTTCTGTGGTTCTAATATTGATATGATTCTCCTTTCCCTACAATTCTCATTCCTCCCACATTTCTTCCCATAGAGAAACTTGCTGTCAGAAGTATTTTTTGTTATCATTTGTCTCACATTATATCAAACAAACATGGGGCTTTTTGGGCCCGGCGCGGTGGCGCAAGTGGTTAAGGTCCTCACCTCGCCTTGCACGCCCGGGATCCCATACGGGCGCTGGTTCTAATCCCGGCAGCCCCCGCTTCCCATCAGCTCCCTGCCTGTGGCCTGGGAAAGCAGTCGAGGACGGCCCAAAGCTTTGGGACCCTGCACCCGCATGGGAGACCCGGAAGAGGCTCCTGGCTTCAGATCGGTATAGCATCAGCTGTTGCGGTCACTTCAGGAATGAATCATCGGACGGAAGATCTTCCTCTCTGTCTTTCCTCCTCTCTGTATATCTGACTTTCCAATAAATAAATAAATCTTTAAAAAAAAAAAGATAACAAGCAGTTAAAAGTAGATGCTTCTGGAAATTGAGTTATGGAAACAGAGTGGATAGGAGACTTTGCATTACCTAAATAAATGCCTGAAAGCATGTGAAATATTTTATATTTAAAGTGTCACCTTTAAAAAAAAGCACTTATTTATTTATTTGAAAGGAAAAATGAAAGAGGAAGAGAGACAGTCAGATCCTTCATCTGCTGGTTCACTCTCCAAATGATCACAACAGCTAAATCTGGATCAGCCCAAAGCCAGAAGCCAGGAATTGCATCCTTTCTCCCATATATTTGTAGTAGGGATCTTGGTACTCGGATTGATTTCTGCTAACTTCCCAGGCAGTTGGATTGAAAGCTGGGTTGCTGGGATTGAACTGGTGCTGGATGTATAATGCCAGTGTTGCAAGCAGTAGCTTAACCCACTGTGCCACCATGCTGGTCTCCAGAGTGTCTCACTTAAAAAGTTGGTTTTGGGCCCGGCGCGGTGGCGCAGTGGTTAAGGTCCTCGCCTTGCACGCCCGGGATCCCATATGGGCGCCGGTTCTATCCTGGCAGCCCCGCTTCCCATCCAGCTCCCTGCCTGTGGCCTGGGAAAGCAGTCGAGGACGGCCCAAGGCTTTGGGACCCTGCACCCGCGTGGGAGACCCGGAAGAGGCTCCTGGCTTCGGACCGGCATAGTATCGGCCGTTATGCTCACTTGGGGAGTGAATCATGGGACGGAAGATCTTCCTCTCTGTCTCTCCTCTCTGTATATCCGCCTTTCCAATAAAAAAAAGTAATAAAAATAAATCTTTTTTTTAAAAAAAAGTTGGTTTTGTTTGTTTGTTTCTGTTTAAAGGAAGACAGTCTGAGATCTGATTAGTTGGTTCACAGTCACAAATGTCTGCAGGAGCATATCCTGGGCAGGGCTAAGTGTGCAGCTGGAGACGATCCAGGGGTCATACATGGCTCATCACTGCTGTCTCCCAGGCTGTGCAGCAGGACTGCAGGCTGAAAGCTGGAGTACAGGCCTCCTGAATTCTATGCAGTGCTTTTGCTCTTACCGTGATTGACATTTCTTCCATTTGCTTAATAATCATTTATTTAATTCAAATTAGTATTAAAACCCAAAATAGCAGGTTAGGCCTTGTGACACAGCGTGAGAGCTGGCATCCCATGTGAATGTCTGTTCAAATGCCAGCTGCCTCACTTCTGCTCCAGCTTCCTACTAATGTGCAGTATATGATGACAGATGCTTGGAACTCTACGCCATCTAGGAGACCAGGATGGAGTTCCCGGTTTCTGCCTTGCATCTGGCTCGGCTGTAGCCTATGCAGCCGTTTGGAGAGTGAACCAGGGGTGGGAGATGTCTCTCTCGGTGTCTCTCCCTTTCTCTCAGTAACTCTGCCTTTCAGGTGAGCAAAGCTGTAAATAGTAATAGTATTAAAAACTAGTGCTTGCTTCAGCAACACATATACTAAAATTGGAACGATACAGAGAGGATTAGCATGGCCCCTGCGCAAGGATGACACGCAAATTCGTGAAGCGTTCCATATTTTTGTAAGAATCAAAGCTGTTCTATTCAGTTCCTTGTCTTTCCCACCAAGTTCACTCAGGCTTTTTTTTTTTTTAAATACAGAGAATAAGACCTAACACATTTGGGAAATCTGTCACCATAATAGATTGTACATTGTTATGTTATTGTATTTTAAATTTCCCTAGAAAACTTTAAATACAGATAGAACTTTTGAAAGAAATTTAAAAATGTTGTGAATATGTGGTTG